TATATCTCTATATATATATATATAATCTATGTATATATTAAAAAATACAATTTTGCTCGCTGCTCTTTATGCACCGTTTTTTCATTTTTCCCCTTTATCATCTCTCCATTTATGTTATGTCCTGACGAAAACCGAACGGAAACGGAAAAACAAAAACAAGGTGATCGACCGCCGCCGGTGCAGCAACACGCACAGGCGGGGCTGATCGATTGCACGCCCATGGAAAAACGGCAATCGGTGACCGAATTGGCAACGAAAATGGACTTGTCCTAGCGTCGAATGGCATTGAGTTTTTTTTTCTCTTCTCCTTTTTCTGTTTGTACACGATCCGATTGTTATCCCTCAACGACGGACATATGTGTAATCTGGGCACGTGGGATATTATAAACGGTTTTCACGGATCCGAGCAAAATCAACTGGCTGTTCCGAGGCTGTTTTCTTGGGTGCCCTAGTCGTGTGGAAATCTGTAATATTGTGTGTCGACCTCGTTTTTTTTTTATTTTAATAAAGGACAGAACACATGAATCTATAAGAGCACGCGATCTGTCCGCAAATAACACACAGCGGGCCAGATAGATTTTGCCTTAATGAGAGTGGATTTCGCAACGACATGGCGAACAATGATATTGTGTAACACGTGTCACGGTTACGGAACGCTACAGCGGAGTTGGAACAATTCTGTCCGTTCTGTATAGTTTCTTCGTTAAAAAAAAAAAAAAAAAAAAAAAAAAAAGGAAGAGTGTTCTCGCCGTCGGTGAGGGAGACGTATATGAACGCGGTTATGCACACACACACACACACGGTCGTCGTGCTCCTCTTATCATTACTACTTTATAGCCAAAGGAATGTAAGGTACAATACTTGATCATATAATATTCCATCATCAGCGACGAACGAGTCTCTCTATTACGTGGTACCTCTTTTCACCTTTTCTTTTCTTTTTCTTTTTTTTCTTCTATTAATCGTTTTCACGCAGCCAGCTGCTCTCGAAAATTCGAAATATTCGTGGAAGATAATGCTATTTTCATTTTTATTTCATTTCGTCTAAACGTATCCGGCATCGAAGTCAGATGCGACCCTTAATCGAAAAGGTAAAGCACAACGCGCGGCACTGCGTTTCGCGTGAAATCCTCTATTAAATCGTATCTTCTTTATTTATCTATTTATTTAATTATTTAATTATTTTTCTTTTTTTTGCTTGTGGTTTTGTATTCATTCGCGTGTAAATAGACATGCAACATTTCGCGGTTATACAACTGTGTAATGTTTTCCCCACGGTGTATGTGTTAGTTTTGTGTGTGTGTGTGTGTGTGTGTGTGTGTGTGTGTGTATTTGAATATGGTGTCGAGTAATGTCGAGTCAATGAAGATGAATGTGCACAAGTGCACCGGCAACGGTGCACGATTATATATATATATATATATACTTTTTTTTTTCCATTTCGCGACTTAGCGATTTATTAATCTACTTATACTCAACAAGGTACTTAATAGTTTTTTTTTCCTATTCATTTCTCATCCTCCTTCCCACCCTTCTTCTCCACCCTCCTAACCTCGTTAAATCCCCGAGCTGCTATGTGCTACTGTCTATCTCAAACAACAACGATCTCATATCCAAATTCCTCTCGTTTAAATTATTTCTGTTCGTAATTCTTCAATTTTCCTCTGTTATATCGATTCTCTTGTATACATACGCTTACCCAAAATAATATACCGTGTTGTATTAACAGTCTAACTCTAAAAGTCTCTCGCTTCCAGTAAAATAACATTACGTAGACTTTTGTACAACCCTCTTAATCACTCGTGACGAGCTGTGCTCTATAGTCGTTTAAATATTTTCTTCCTCTGTCTCTCTTAGTACATCGTTCCCCCGTCCATTTTCAGTTCGTTCCCCTTGCCGAATAGAAATTTCTTTCCTCGTTATGAAACAATCCCTTCTCGAGGCCCGTTTCGAGGAGGAAATTTTACCATTTTTTATTACACCGTATTACATTTTTAGACGTCGGTATGCATTGCTATTTTGAATACACCTGACCACCCCTCAATTTTCTTTCTGTCCCCTCGTCTTGGCTCTATTTTCCTCATGCTCATTCGACACGGTGGAAACTCAAGCGTTTTTGTCTCTCGAACGGACTTCTTGCGTGTATTTTCTATCAATGGCGCGGGCGATAATACTTTATCGGTAAACATTATGCACTAAAATCGAGCAAAGTCAGGATATATTACGCCTTCGACGACCCGCCGTCGTTCAACCGATAGTTCTCGTCTCGCAATCCGGGCCGTTTATCGTTAATTCTTTTTTTTTTTTTCGTTTCCCTTCGCATTAGACAAAAATAAAAGTTTCTCTTCTCGTTTAAACTTCACGCGTATCTCCTATAATAGATAGATCACTCTGTCTCTCTTTCTTTCTCTATATATTTCTTTCTTTCGTTTTGTATAAAATATATACAGCCACGTGTTTCATTTTTCTCTTTGTTTCGTGTGTACTTGTTTAGCTTTCTGCTTGTTATAAGAGCATTGCAATGCAGGTGTTTGTGTACAGGGTGATTCATTAAATCCGATCTCGAAATAAGAATCCAAATCAGTGTGTGATTTCAATGTAATTAACGTCATCGGTTGGTTAAAATCGTCCAAGTATCCTATAAAATGATCGATGCTGGTTCAATTTTGCGCACGGAAGACTAAAATATTTTTAATATTTTTCTCTTCTGAATTCATCCCCCCCCCCCCGCCGAAAAAAGTGACGGTCACGTTTCATGAAACACCCTGTATCGTAAAAGTCTAAAATGAACGAGACAAAAATGTGTTCGAGGAAAACCGAAAATACGTCTGAGAACTTCGTGACTTTCGAAAACACGTAACACGACTGTATACAAAATGGCAACGCACAGTCGTTAAAAATTCCTGTGGTACAATATACGTGTGTATGCATGTATATGTATATTTAGCGTCTTAATGGAAACATCCGGTGAACATGTTCAGTGATTAAGACAATTTCCTTTTCTTTTCTCTTCTCGACAAACCCCCCTCCTCCCTTCATCACACTCTCATTCTCTCTACGTATTAATAGTTAAGTTCTGCTCTATTGTCGATTCAATGCAATGCAATCGATTACTATTTACTTCGTTCTCGCGTCTGTTTTAACATGGTTTATTTTTTTCTTTTCTTCTGTTTGTTGCGGCATCTATCTGTATCCCTTAATATATTAATACTTCTTAATGCGTAAACGTTACATTTTACATCAATGTTTCGATTATTGATTTTTTCTGGTTTTTTTTTCTTCTATCTCCCCCCTCCCCCCTCTTCGACTATGATAAATCTGAATTCTAGTTTGATTATGGCGAACGACTGCGGACAGTGGCAGTAAAAACGTATCGTTCGAGAATACAACAATCCTTATAAGCGACCAAATGCAACAACGTTTCTTCAGGGGTAAAAAAAGCTTCGGATAGAAATAAGCGTCTGACGATTCTGCTCATCGATCGAAAACACGTTTGATCGTTCACAAGTAGGCCATAATCGCAGCCGTTGTTTTACTACATTATCATCGTGTCCGCGAAATGAACGATTTTAGAATTCAAGAGAAAAACAAAGAAAAGAAATAAAATAAAAAAGTACGGCACAGAAGATTCCTTTAGGTTTGTTTACTCGTGGCGAGAACAAATTTCGGTTAGCGAACAAAACGCACGTATTTTGGCTCTTCTGGCCAAGAAACGATTGCATTTTGTTGTTTACTTTTTCTTTTTTTTTTTACAACGAATTTCGCCACCGCACATACCGTGAACAAGAAGCTCGAGAACTTAGGACTTTGTGATCGTTAACAACAGTTCACTGTTTCGTTATCGTGTGGTGTAATCGTTATTTCTTTCTCTCTCTCTCTCTCTCTCTCTATATATATATATATATGTATATGCATCAGTTTTTTTTTTTCCGTTAAATCCCTCTGCAGCTGTGAAACAATTCTTTGTACACTGGCGAGAACCTAAGTAAGCAATATACAGGTGGTGTATGTTTTATAATACTTCGTAACGATTTAATATATATGTAATGTGAAATAAAACGTATTCCGACTTTATTCAAAAACAACCTGCTTTGTATCGCAGAATATACACATCTTTAACAACACGTTCTACCGTCAAAAACGTCAACAAGTGTGGCTGATGGGATATCAATATGGCACTGAAGTGATTGGGTGGAGTGTGTTGCGAGAATGTCGTGCGGAAAAAAAAAGAATGTTATCTGTTTTCCCCCCCCCCCCTGTGCTGTCGAATAATTGTATCTCGATCCTCCCCTTCCCGTAATTTCCTCGTTTCTTTCTTTCTCTTCCCCACGAATACTTATTACGTAATGATAAAATCGTCGATTATCTCGTCCCTCGTTTCTCTTTCTCTTCCAATTTCATTTTTACATCTCTTACCCCCTCATTATATATCTTTGTGTTTCGCTCTATACAGGTAAATGGAGTCTATATGCGAGTGGAGGTGATGGATGATGGAACATGAATTATACGATGTAGCCTAGCACACACAGCCAAGTAACGTGACAACGGGAGCCACCCTCCCCCACCCCTTTCTGGTGGCGACCACGTGTGTCGAGAATTCAATTATAGTTACTGTAACAATTAGTCATATTAGAATCGAGGCGAGTCAATGCAATTCCTACAGTTTTTCACATTTTCTCATATCGTTTTTTTATGTATATATATA